CGGTTGTGTTGCTGCTGCTTGTTTCGTGGTACTGGTACTGGTACTGGTACTGGTACTACTACTACTACTACTACTACTACTACTACTACTGCTACTACTACTGCTACTATACTACTACAACTACTACCACTACTACTACTACTACTACTGCTGCTGCTGCTGCTACTACTACTACTACTACTAGTAGAAGATGCTTAAACTATATACACATACATAGACGCATACGTCTATGCGTACACAGAGACATGTTGGCCAACATACAAAGGTGGGTGGAGGTGTGAAATAAGTGTGCGCAAAGAGATCTCAAGGACCGCTCGGGATCGGGCCTTCGAGGAGGCAGCGCTCTCGACGTCGCTGAAGGTCCCGGCGGCGCAAGCGATGCAGTCACCCGGGCTTCCGGCACCCTCCTGAAGGATCGCAGGAGGGTCTCAATTTGTGGGCTCCTTTCGAGGTGCCGTTGTGCTGAGGATCCCATTACCTGCGGTAGGAGAAGGGCACCTTAAAGGTGCACTGTATCAGATGCAGAAGAGACATTGTGGCTTTTGCCTCTGATAGTAATAGTAGCAATCACCAGCTGGGCGGTCAGCAGCTTGCCGGCGGTTGTAGCAATCTCCGTGGAGTCATGCCCTGCATTGTTCAGCTGCGAAGTTGCCAGCCCAAATGTTCTGACTCAGCTTCAGCTGGGCAGGATCCAACACAGCCTAGATGGGGCCTAGATTAGACACTTCAGTCTCTCAAGATTATCGGCACCGTCCTTGGAGTTGAACCGGCCAGCCGGACAGCCCACGCAAGCCTGCAATCTTATGGAAAGACAACAGTTCTGCTGCCATGGAGTTGTACCTCATAACAATTTCCGCAGTGCGGAAGCATGCCGCGACTGATTTCAAGCATTCCGACGTGTGAGTAAACCCACTGCTGCAATTCTGTCCGGTCTGATGGAAAGAGAAAGCTGAAGCAAACGAACACTCCAACAACTTCGAGTGAGTCCACACCAAGCCTCTTCCTCTACAGCGCCGAGGATAGGGCTCCACGTGCCGGGTGCGCACTTTCGGCACACCTTCCTGATACTCACATGATGGATCAAAGAACTCGGAACAGCTGGGGAATTGGGATTTCGGCTCTACCCTCCATGCTACGGACCGAAATCCATTGAGAGCTACAGCTGTGTGTTCTTGACTGTGAAGCAAGCTGCCGACCACTCTTCGTGCTTGACGTTGCTTGGTGTAGTTTTGTTCCTTCTGCCGGCCGTTCTGCGTGGTCTTTCTTTGACTTCGGGGGGTGTAAAGCCGGCACATTTTGCAGTGTGTTTTCCGTATGGTTCAGACACTCTCTCCTTCCTCTGGTCTTCAATTGGGACAAGCGTGGGACCAACGGGAGCATTGTAGTGCGCCTCGCAGGAGGAAACAAACGCGAAACATGGTCTAGTAGCGTTAAGTGGCCTAGGGCCTAGCTCTTCGAAACGTGCACGGTGAATGGCACCGCAGAAACAACCCTAAGCCCCAAGCTGCAGGCTCATGCTTTGTGTTGCGTCACGGTCTCCGTCAAGCCTGAACCCCCAAATCAAAACCCCTAAACTCCCGAAACCTACACCCCACAAAAAGAATAAGCAGCATCTCGGACACTTTCCCTTTCAGTTTCTTCGGCTGGGGCTCGTGGAGGACGCGCCCTCCTCGGAGCTCCAGGTGCCCGCAGGGCAGAAGTTGCAGTCGAAGATAGAGGAGGCGGCCGTCCTGGTTAATGTTCAGAGTTGCAATTTAAAATTTCCCAACTCGGACTCAGCTAGGCGCAGCCTCTCGGTTCGTATGCGCACTACAGTTCAGAGTTAAGCGTTTAGGGCTGATGCACCTCAATTCGTGTTTGCGACTTAGGGCTCAATGCATGGGTCTTGAGTGGCTTAAGCGAGTGTGGGATGTCGATCCCCAAAAAAACCAGTGGAACTTTTCAAATCATCCATGTCTCATTACCCTCTGCGCGTTGAAACCAGCACCGGCCTTGAAGCCGACTGCCGGCCCTGGAGCTTCGAAGCCTTAAAGCCTTAGGGTTTAGGGCTTTAGGGTTTAGGGTCTTAGTCTGTCCCCCAAGAGTCCTACAACACCACCATCACGGCAAGCAGGCAAGGACAGCAATACTGCGTGAGCCCTAAGCCCTAAGCCCTAAACCCTATTGAATGGTAGTAAAGTCGTAGGTCACGCGTCCTGTTGCTCCACCTCCCCTTTGGGCATGGTTGGCAAGCCTGAGCAGCGAGGCCGATAAGACGGACACCGAAAGCAGAGGGGTTTAGAATTAGACTAGGGTTACTATAAGGGATATTATGATACTATAAGGGCTCTATAAGGGTATAATATAGGGGGCCGTATTATTTAGAGTTTGCCCCTCGTCTGGCAAGGGATATGCATGCCCTTGGCCCAGGTCTGGCATTTCACCGTAAGCTTACACCTAACGCCTGTACCCTAGTAAACCCTACCTTTCTTAAGGAGCTACATAACAAAGGCTCATCAAGACACCACAATAAAGGAACCCTCGAAATTTTAAGGCTGCTTACGAGCTGCAAATATATGGTTTTGGGGTATAATATACCAGAATTATACTAAGGAGCCCCCAAAATAATACAGGTAATTATGAAGGCCCCTACATTACAAAAGACCGACCTTTCTACAAGGCGCACCTCGGGCGAGATGGCTCCCTCCTGGCTGCTCCATGTGCCCATGGAGCACTTGTGGCACGCCTTCCACGACAGCGAGGCTGAGGGGCCTTTTTTTTGCGGGGTGTCAGGTTCAAGATCGGAAACCTCACCCCTGAAACCGAATACCGAAACTCTCCTGAAGCCTAAACCGCATGTTCCTGAGATATATGAACCCTCCATGATTGCAGTGATAACAGGCCGCACCGCGGGCTGCTGCAGGCCGGTTCTGTACTAGTTGTGACATGGGACCAGCAAACCCACCATGATTCAAGGCCATCTGGGAAGGGCCGCAGCCGGCACCACTTCTGTTGTTACATGTACTGTCCGGCTTACTACTAGGAGCACCAGTAAGTAGTAGTAGTAGTAGTAG